CCGAGGAACACAGGGCGGGGCGGGTCCCAGCTGTGTCTCCCACCCCGCAGCTCGGAGCAATGGCGACCCCGGGAGCCCCAGTGGGTGGCGTCTCGTCCCGAGGGCCCCAGTGCCCTCCTGACCCAGCGCTGGAGCCCAAGCAGCTCCCGGAGCTGATCCGCCTGAAGCGAGACGGAGTCCGCCTGAGCGAGCGAGACATTCAGAGTTTCGTGCGCGCCGCGGTGGACGGGAGCGCGCAGGGCGCACAGATAGGTGTGTGGGGCAGGTGGGCATTCCTGACTCCAGCGAAACCTCCTACCCTTGGCACCCCACGGCTCCGCACCACGTCCCTGGCCCCGGCTAACCCATCCCTGTGAGAGCGCCCCCTCATGCTGCCTACACCACCGTGTCCCATGTTTAGGGGCCATGCTCATGGCCATCCGACTGCAAGGCATGGATCTGGAGGAGACTGTGGCGCTAACCCGGGCCCTAGCCAACTCCGGGCAGCAGCTGGAGTGGCCAGAGGCCTGGCACCAGCAGCTCGTGGACAAACATTCCACAGGGGGAGTGGGTGACAAGGTCAGCCTGGTCCTGGCGCCTGCCCTGGCTGCCTGTGGCTGCAAGGTGAGCGCCTCCTCTCCAAACCCGAAACTCAGGCCTCAGAGGCGGGCAGCTCCCAACCTCTAATTTGGTCCAGAAAGAGCCCCCAAAGGCAGGACCCAAGCTCCTTGCCCCCCCCCCATTCCCAGCAGCCCCCGTAACAGGACCAACCTACCTAGCACCCCTTCCTCTTCAATACCCGAGAAAGGACCCCCAAAGGAAAAGCTGGGTACTCCTCCCTCGACAGATACCAGCCTCCTTCTTCAGTCCCCCCGCCCCCATCCCAAACCAGGACAATTTCTTTCCCATTCCCTCTCCACCAGGTGGACACCCACTACCACTTCTAACTGCAGCTAAAGTCCTAACCAGGGAAGATGAGGGAAGAGGTGGAGGGTGACAGTGCAGGTGTACACAGGACCCCGTCCAACAGGTACCCATGATCAGTGGGCGTGGTCTGGGGCACACAGGAGGCACCTTGGATAAACTAGAGTCAATTCCTGGATTCACCGTCATCCAGAGCCCAGAACAGGTATGTGGAAGCCACTGATCAGTCATTGACCTGGATTATTGATGTAAACATTAAACAGAATTGCTGAAGGATCACTGATGGGTTATCAGTCAGGGTCACTAATGAGGATATTCATAAAAGTTATTCACGGGTCTTTACTGATCATTGGACTTTGGTCAAAGTTACCAACGGACTTTTGGTTGGAACCATTAATAGGGACTTGGTAAAAATCCCCGATGGGCCATAGGGCATTGATTAATGTCACTGATGGGTTGGGCCAATCATCAATGAGGACTTATCAGAATTGTTCCTAAGTTACTGGTCATGGTTTTGACATTTGTCAAGGTGGCTGGTGAGTCCCTTGATCAGGGTTAGTGATGGGGTCAGTGACCAGAGGTCACTGGGAGTCCTGACACACGGGGATTTGGCCAGATGCAAGGTCTGCTGGAGAGAGTGGGCTGCTGTATTGTGGGTCAGAGCAAGGAGCTGGTTCCTGCAGACGGAATCCTGTATGCAGCCCGAGATGTGACAGCGACCGTTGACAGCCTGCCACTCATCACAGGTGACCTGACCCCACACTCCAGGGTCCACCTTCTGCATGTTAAACATCCCTGACTTCTGATGGACCAGTAAAGGGTCCTCTCCTAAGGGGACTGTGGGACCTCCCCAAGCCCAGGGCAGACGTCCCCTCACCACTCAAGAGGGAGACCTGGCTGAAGCACAACAGTCCAGCCCTGTGACGCCCATCATGAGGGACTTGACCCTCCATGTTCAGAGTCCCTGACTCCTCGTGCCTGACCTGAGAGCCAGGATGCCCTGCATCTCTCAGGAAGCGCCGAGCTCTCCTGAACCCACAGCCCCCTCTGCTCCCTCACAGCCTCCATCCTCAGCAAGAAGGTGGTGGAGAACCTGTCTGCACTGGTGATGGATGTGAAGTTCGGAGGGGCTGCCGTCTTCCCGAGCCAGGCAAAGGCCCGGGAACTGGCTAGAGCGCTGGTGAGCGGCTGTGCCCAAGGAGTCTCTGCTGGGGAGGGTCTCCCCCTACGGGCCCAGCCTCCCCTTCATAACCCAGCAGTCTGCTCCCTGTGTGCCTCAGCCACAGCCACTCAGCAGGCCTGTGTCACCATGGCCTCTGCCAGCACCTGGCTTCCCCACTCGCAGTTCCTCCTTCACCCCCTACTCAGTGACCTTACCAAGCAAGGCTGACATGGCTCTCGGCCCAGAGCGGTACACGGTCTTTCTGACCCCACCTGCTTCACCGCTCCCCGCACTCCAACAACCAAAACCTTCTGGGACCCCCTCACTCCTGGGGAACTGGCACCCAAGCGTGCAGCACCGGCTGGAGCTTGGTAACAAGCGGGCTACAAGCGGCCCCACAGAATGCAGGGCAGGGGCCACACTGAACCATGTCTCCGAAGGTTGATGTCGGGGCAGGCCTGGGGCTCCGGGTTGCAGCGGCTCTGACAGCCATGGACCATCCCCTGGGCCGCAGCGTGGGCCACACCCTGGAGGTGGAGGAGGCGCTGCTTTGCATGGACGGCGCGGGGCCACCGGACCTGCGGGACCTGGTCGTTAGGCTCGGTGAGTGGACCCGTAAGGTGTTGGGGTGGGAACTACAGAACCGCCTCCGCGGCACCTAAACCCCGGACCCACGCCGGCAGGGGGCGTCCTGCTCTGGCTCAACGGACAGGCGGAGGC